AGCCTTTGGCTCAAAAGCCTAACCGCAAGGGGTGTGTGTTCGGCTGGAAATGCAAGTACATTACCATTTTTTTACGGAACACATCGCCATACATGTTCCAACCCCCAACCAGGAGTGCTCGTCGGAGCCATACATGTTCCAACCCCCAACCAGGAGAATGTGCTCGTCGGACCTCTACCCATGGACCAACCTGGTATGAGGGACTCTGTGAGCATCGTGCGGACACTCCCCAGTATAGTTCAATGGGTCGACAAGGTACACAAACCGCCACACCACGGTAAGGTCCAGTCTCTACGTGACGGCTCTTTTCATTGATCACTTTTCATTGATCAAGGCTGTTGCTGAGTTGATTAGTTGGTTGACTGGCCTTGATGCTCGCCGACTTTCCTATTGAGATCTTGGCGGAGTTTGAGGGTCTCAACGGGTTTCAGGCATTCTGGGATTATTTTCAGGAATATACAGTCCGTTCGGGCGTAAGCAGACACAGTAAACAGGGTGAGATTGTCCTCTCTCTCAAGACTCTTCCACAGACGTTGTCAAGCGAACCACAGAGAGGCGACTATCAACGGGTATCCAGTCAAGTAAAGACGCTTCCGCTCGGTCGCTAAATACAATATTCCCCTCGGCATATCGAGCCGCAGCGGACTCTGCATCTTCAACGTTGCGCAACCGGAACCTGAGAGAGAGCAACAGGACAGTCAGTTCAAGTACAGAACTTGCGTCTTGCATCCTTGATCCTGACAGGCAGCATGCTTCGAGAATCCAATGTGCGAGCAAGAGCAGCTTGTTGTCCCGCTTGCTTGTGCGCGAACATTGAAGTTAGCTAAGTAGCCTGGCTTTCAGGAGTCGAAAACAGACTTCGATGTCTTTACGGTTTTAACCGAAGTCAGGTACAAGGAAGCTGCAGCTGAGTGTGATGCACGGAGAACAAAACGGTCACTCCCAATCGGGGTGAGGTAGGGTAGAAGAGGGAATACCTGAATGTCTAAGGGAGGCATCAAAAGTGGTATGTTTTCACTGGCTGGCTGCACCACGCGATGGCCGATGCGGCATGAGGGTAACATCAGTTTTGTGTCACGATTGTACAAGGGCTGGAATACTGCCAGGACGATCAGGGTCTTCAACCAAACCCCAGGCTCAAGGCAGCGGTGTTTAGCGGAAAATGCAAGTGCACTAAGATTTTTATGGAAGGCGCCACACGTGTTCCCAACCCTCAACCTGGAGGCCCGGGAGGTTCACTGATTCACTGACTGATACAAGGGATCGAGGCTTTCGTCCAAGTTTGCGTTGGTCAGATCTGTAACCGCACGAATACCGTGCGTAAACAGTTTCGGGAAGTTCGGTATTTTCTCAGTTTTTTCACAATTAAGCAAATGTCACGGATACAGAAAAGTAACGGGACAAAACCGTCGCATACACTCACCTTGGTCCATCCTAGATTGGCCAGGAGACAGTGACACCTACCGCATCCGCCAGCAACCTGATTGGCTGGCATTCAGACTCTGTTTCAGACGCGCGTGTTAAGGCATGAAATATGTTCACAATTAAGCAAATGTCACGGATACAGAAAAGTAACGGGACAAAACCGTCGCATACACCCACCTTGGTCCATCCTAGATTGGCCAGGAGACAGTGACACCTACCGCATCCGCCAGCAACCTGATTGGCTGGCATTCAGACTCTGTTTCAGACGCGCGTGTTAAGGCATGAACTATGAAGCTGGGTGATCCGAATGGGTGTTCTGGTTGTTTGAAACGCAGCATATCAAACACACGGGCAGTTCTGAGACTGCGAGCCACGGATCGCTAACCAGCTCTTTTTGTAAGGGCTAATAGCCAAATCTTCACCTGAATGGCTGAAAAAGTGGCGAGATCATGTTGGCGATATTTCGGATCAGGCGACCAGGTAAATCACGTCAGAGTAGCCTAAGGGGGTATTCTTGCTAATTAATGAAGGAACCGGCGGATACTGGAGGATTAATCATATCCTGATGGCGTCTGACGCACTTGCGAATCGATAAAGGTCGCCCCCATATTTCCCATTGAATTTAACTAGACCTCATGATAGTTCTCCCATTTATTTGCTTACTCCGTCTACGTACTTTTGGTCTCCAATTATTTCACTCATCTGTACGCGTCACTGATTTGCCGCAAAGGCCGTCCCATCTGACACCGATGTATTAGCGCGTGTCTGCACAGCTGACCTGCTTACTCATGCGCGTTCGTGTCCAGCTTGTTGAGCTTGCTTTCACTTGTTTTCTCATGCGTTCTATATAATCGCACCGTCAATGGGAATCGCGGGACTGTCATCGGGAAGGACGACCGCAACCCACAACACTAAGACAACAGCCCGTTCGACATTGTTTGGTGTGCCGACGTTGACACTGCGCTGTGCCAGTCAGTGAGAGACATGAGCAGTTGTTCACGCTACGAACGTGGATACTTGAGGTTTGTTGTACAAATCTGCCTAAACTGTTGTAAACAGTACCGTAGAATTTCGAACCCTAATCGTCCTGGTGCTGCCCGAGATTATCCAACCTAAGCATCATTCAAGGTGTCGTATGGTAATCTCGATAATTCCCTTCCTCGCGCTTTGGTTTAACTAAAGGTATAATCAATACTTCAACGCAAACTCCCCCTAAACCATTCTTGCGCGCTGAACCTGTTCGTATTAAGGGAAAGCTTAACCCAAGCCAATGACGAGGGTCTCATATCGGATGCCATATTTTTCGACTTCTCAAAAGCATTCGGATGAGTCCCACACGTCCCGCTGCACCACAAATTTGAGAGTTACGGGATTCTACACATGATTAAGGCCTTTATATCAGACAGCACATTCGAAGTGGAAGTGTAACGGTGGTACTAATGATCGGGAGGCACGCGAGTAATATGTGTTGCTCGTAGAATTTCGCTTTGCATCGACTGAA